ACACACACACACACACACACCTATCTCACTATTTATGTACCACTTAGAATGACATTACCTGCAGGTTTTATGTAGATGAGCTTTATCAAATTTGTAAAGTTATCTTCCATTTAGTTTTTTTTTAATCGTAAGTACTGAATATGTCAAATTCTGAATCTATTGAGATGATCATGATTTTTCTCCATTAAACTGTTAATATGGTAGATTATTTTTTTAGATCAACCTTGTGTGCCTAAGATAAACCCCATTAGACATTATGTATTAACTTTTACATATTTTGCTAGATTTGCTAATATCTTGTTAAGGATTTTTATGTCTATGTTCATTGTTCATGAGACATAATAGTCTGTGGTATTTTTCTTGAAATGATATCATCAGGTTTTGATACCAAAGTCATACCGAAATAAGAAATTGAAAAGAATTTATGTAAAATAAAATGCTTGATACTCAACAGTGAAAATAACCTAGGCAGGGAATTTTCTTTATGTGAAGATTTTGATGATGAACTCAATTTCTTTGATATATACTATTCAGAGTTTTTATTTCTTCTGTCCATTTTATTATGCTGGACTTTTGAAAGAATTTATACATCTCATCTATGTTGTCTAATTTACTAGCATAGTGTTTCCTTAATAACCTTTTAATGTATATAGACTCTTTAATGATACCTCTTCTTAGATTTCTGATATTAATAATTTGTGTTTCTCTTTTGTCTTTGATCATTCTTGTTAAGGGTTTATCTTTTTTTTTTTAATCTTTTCAAAAAAATTCAACTTGTTAATTTTCTCAAATACTAGGTTTTTTTTCTTCCATAGCTTTCTGTTCTTATTATTTGCTTTCTTCCACTTATTTCAGATTTAATTAGCTCTTCTTTCCCTAGTGTAAGGTAAAAAGCTAAGGTTACTAGTTGTTTTAACTTTCTGATTCTAAAATAATTTCACTGTGATCACAAAAGCTATTTTGTATGATTTCAATCTTTTTAAATTGCTGAGGCTTGTTTGATGCCCCAGCATAGGGTCTATCTGTTAAATATTCCATGTACACTTCAAAAGAATATGTGTTCTACAGTTGTTGGATGAACTATTCTGTAATGTCAACGAGGTCCAATAAGCTGATATGGTGATAAAGTTGTTCAAGTATTCTAAAGCCTTACTTAATCTTGTCTAACTAAGGTATCTATTATTGAGAGAAGCATGCTAAAACTCTCTTATTTGTGTGTCTGTTGTCTATTTCTTTCAATTCTGGGAGTTTTTGTCTCATGTATTTTGAAGCTCTAATATTATTGGGTTACACATATTTAAATTGTTACGTAATTTTTATGAATTGACTACCATTATGAAATAACACTTTATCTCTGATAATATTTCTTTTCCTTTAATAATACTTTGATATTAATATAGGTATGTATGCACATACAGCTATTTAGTCAAACACTTAAGGGGACCCACTAAGCACATTTTTGGAGCTCCATCTTTACACAGCTCTCGCTTCGGGTATTTAGTGCCACAAATTCTAGCTGCCCCAGATTCCTTAAAATCAGACATGTGTCTCTATAACTCAGCCAAACTGCTGTTTCCCATCCCTGCTTTGCAGCCCAGAAATTACCTCCAGGCAGAAATCCAGGACAGTGGCAGGCTCACTCCTTGTATTCCTTCCTTTTTTTTTTTTTTCAGGAATCCAAGTCCTAAACTGCCCACTGTCTTAAAACATGTTTCTAGATTTTGTTCAAGGAGCTCTGGTAGCATAGTGCCTAAGGCACTTGACTGCTAACCAGAAGGGTGGCGGTAAACCTACCAGCTACTCCTCAGAAGGAAGTTTGGACAATCTACCTCCATAGTGATACTGCCTCAGAAACTCAGGGAGGGGTCGCTATGAGTCGGGTGCGACTCGATGGCATATAACAACAACAACAACAACAACAGATTTTGTTCAATTTTCTAAGTGTTTTTGGTGGGAAGGTTATTCCACACCATCTTGCTCTTTCAATCTAAGAGGTATAATCTGTGTATTTTAATGTATAGCTTAAATAAAAAGCCTAGCAGATAAAGCAATATTCAGACACAGGTGAGTATATAAGGTACTTACCTATGCCTTTTTAAAGTTAAACAATCTATGGTATTAATAAACCGTAAATGGATAAACACAACTTTAGCAGATGTTT